ACAAGATAATGGTATTGAGCTAGCACAGCTCACAGTGTAATGGGCTGAGAGTCATTGAGGTGAGTATTTGATTGTATACAGTTTTCTTGGACGTCAGGAACAGGATCTTCTTTAAATGAGAAAGTGTCTATGAGCATCTTCAGATGTGCTGAATTTAAGATTGCACTCAAGAAGGAAATGAGCTATAGGATCCATATGGCTACCACACACAAATGAAAAACGTTGGTAGTTTCGCTGTCTATGTTTGCCAACTGTAACAACTGTTTGAAAAGTATTTCAAACAAATTTATAACTTGGTGTGAATGGATAGAGATTTATGCTCTAGCTAGCCTAGAAAGTGAAGTGTATTCCAGACACAAGCAATTTTTTTCCCTACCATCCCCGCATAGAATTGGCTGATCTTTAAAAAATGCATACTTTCTGTGACCTGTATTAATATATTTGTCCCTCATTCGCTATATATCAGCAATGTTGTTCAGAAGGATGTAGGGCAGTGATGGCTAACCATTTTGCCATCGCGTGCCAAAAGCGGGGGGAGCACGGGGGGTCAGGTGCATGCCCATACCCATAATTCTTGCGCCCTGCCCCCCATGCATGTGCGCACAATCCCCCCCGTGCTCCACCACTTTTACCACATGATGGCCCGGTGGGCCTGGTAGGCCCATTTTTCGCTCTCCCCAGGCTCCAGAGGCATTGTAGGAGCCTGGGGAGGGTGAAAACAGCCTTCCCCACCCGTGCCCCAGAGGTCCTCCGGAGGCAGGAAACAGCCTGTTTCCCTACTTCTGGTGGGCCCAGAAGGCCCAAAAAATCAGCTGGCCAGCATGCACATGCATGCCAGAGCTGAGCTCGTGTGCCCACCATATGGCTCCGTGTGCCACCTGTGGCACACGTGCCATAGGTTCAACATCACTGATGTAGGGAATTGTAATGTAATTCCATGTTCATCATCATATATCACTTGAAGGAGACTATTCTTCCTTTTCCTACTAAGAATTCTGTGCAATAGTTGTGTTTGTTTGGATCAAATGCTCCATTATGGATTTTTTTTGGCACTGAGGAAAAAAATCTGCTATTTATTTACTTTTAGTCTTTTTTTTCTCTCTTTGAAAAGTGTTCAAAGGTGATAAAGTAAAACTGCAATAACCCATATCACTTCCAGAGCCACAACTGCTGCCAAATACTACTGTATGATTGACAAACAAGATTATTACGAATTGCAATTAGTTAAATAATTTTAATTTAATTTAACTTACTTCAAATCCATCTTTTAGTCTAGGCCACTGACACTTCACAGTTCTGGTTTTCCAGGTTTTTCAGGTGTGGAATCTGGTTAGCTTTCACTGCTACCCGTAAAAATTGCCCACCCATGATTTAACACTACCAAAATCATTTATTTGTTCCACCAAGTGTTGAATTGTCCAGTTCAAAGGAAGTAATGTATTTGTTCAGAAGGAAAAGAATCCCAAATTTAAGACTCTCAAAAATCGGAGGAGGGGGAGGAAACCCTCATCTGCCAGAATTATACATATTCAAGGAATTCTAGGTTTTAGTGTAATCCTAATCCTAACCCTAAAGTTAGTTCTAAATTAAATAAAGTGAATGCATTAATATACTTGTACTTCATTTTTGTGAGTTTTATGACATTAATGCACTTTGCAGAGCCTCTAGTAGAAACTTTAAAAAAATCATTTCAATCCAACAGAAGGTTGAAAAGGAACTATGTAAAGAAGTTCAGGAATCTGTTGTCAATCTGGGTGTCTATGAGCAGAATAACTGTCCAAAACTGAAACTAAAAGAAACCAAATTTGGTATGATGGAGGAAACCAGCAAAAGAAATTATAGGTTTAAAAGTCATCCAGTTGTGAAAGAAAAAATAATTCCAGGAAAAAAATGTATTCCCCCAGGGAATTCTTATGGAAGAGGCAATAGCCACCCTGAGTCTTCGGAGAGGGGCGGCATACAAATTGAATGAATGAATGAATGAATGAATGAATGAATGAATGAATAAATAAATAAATAAATAAATAAATAAATAAATAAATAAATAAATAAATAAATAAATTGATCAGGGCTCAGAATGCTACTAAAATTCTCCATTCTAAGTTTCCTGCCTTCCTTCTGGACCCATGACCAAAAATCGAATCAATGCAGTTCATCTGTTTCCATCTGCACATAGAAGTGCAGATCAATTCAACACAAGAGAGAGTATAAACACACCCATACATAAAAACAGGTGCAACACATACCTCTCACACAGAATCAAATACAGACACAAATACATAGCAGGGGTGTCAAACTCGATTTCATTAAGGGCCACATTAGGATTGTGTTTGACCTCGGAGGGCCAAGTGGGCGTGGCTGGGGTGGGAGTGGCCAGCTTGATGTTCTGCAGCCCTCTGCCAGGGAAAATGGAGCCTGGGAGGGCCACGTGCGGCTCTCCTGAGCTCCATTTTCCCTGGTAGAGGCACTGCGGGTCAGTCATTTGCTGTTTGCAGGGCAGCCCCGCGGGCCAGATTTAAGCGCCTTGAGTTTGACACCCCTATCCTATAGCCTTTGCTGCTGATGGAGCTAGAAAGAATTGTAGGAGCCATGCTCTGCATGCTTTTGCTAACTTGTTGAACCTGGGCAAGGAAACAACTAACAATAAATTAACTTCCTGATGCTGGGGAGAGCATTCATCAACACAGCTTGATTTTAGATACTGGTCTTAGTGAATCTTACAGGGGACTTTTCAGCCAGGAAATGCCATTATCATCTGCAGTTGTATAGCTTCAGCTAGGACCAATTCTCTCATCCAAATTCTGTGGCTTACATTCCTGATGTTGGAACACAACAAACAGAAACTGTCAGTCTGCATACAATACTCTCGTTGGACCTGAAAAAAATAGAAGTTTGATCCTGTCACCCTTTGCTAAACCCTTTGCTAAGTTGGGCTCTTGGGACACCTGTTTATGGCCATGTGTCATGGGTGATTCAGAGACTCAAGAAATCAGCAGGCTGGGTTCCCTAATTTCACTATTGTGGTTCTTTAGTTCTTCAGAGCAGGTAGCTATTCTGCTTTCCAAATGTGATGGCCTTAATCTCAGTTCTGTATTTTCTATTTCTTCTCTTATGTGAACTTACTACCAGACCAAGATGAAACTCCAGAGTAGTGTTTCTCAGCTTTAGCAACTTTTAAGATGCCTGGATTTCAACTTCCAGAATTTCCCAAGAATTGAATTATCAAGGTTGAGAAACACTTCTCTGGATTCACTGTACCCCCCCACTGGCATCCATCACCCCCTTCATCCGCTCCTTCCCTCTAGCAAAGCAGGAAGGCGGCACGCCCTCTGATCTTCCTCCCTCTGCTCTTCCTTGGTGTTTCTCTGAACATTTCTGCTCTGGATCTACAGTAATGTCTTGGAACTAGACCTTTTCTTTCCATCTCAAGTATTTCTGTTTAATTGAGAATAATTGCCAGGGCTAATCGGATTTACCTTTTTATGGTTTCACATTGTTTATTGTTTTATTGTTTCAACTTCCATTCTTCTATCCGCCTGGGCGCTGCCCTTCCCTAACTGAGGAAGCACTAAGGAAATGTGTGGCATTTCTCTCCGCAGAGCCCACCAGGAGTGCGAGTGTGTCTGGGGGTGGGGGGGGGAGAGAGAAATGTGCGCGGTGTCGCTTTGCCTTATCCTTGCTGTTTATGCTGACACAAACAGATTTACACGCGCGCACCCTCCACAGTGATCCGCCACCTCAGTTGCCATCGCGGGCGATATTCGTGTTTATTTGAAGGAACAGGAGGGAAGCAGCCACGAAGTGGGCTTGCGGAGGGAAGTGCTCAGTGGCGACCATCGGAGGAGGGTCCGTGAGCAGAACACGCCCGATCCCCGCGGGCCATAAGGCGCCGCCGGTGAGTTAGGAGGCGGAGGAGAGACTAAGGGAACAAACCTGAGGCAGGTGTGAGGTGCTGGAAAACTGCCAACGTACAAGGTGTAGGCGGCGGTTCCTCCCTCAGAGTACAAAGCTTCTGCCCCGGGGGTTTGGTGGGAAGAGGGGTGTTGAAGAAAACTACGAGCGAGCAATTGGCGAGGCTGCGAAGAGGCTGTGCGCTTTCAGGGTCGGGGTCAAAGCTGGAGGCGTAACCTAGGGGCGGATACCGCTGAACTGGGCTTGACAAGGAAAAAGTGGAAGGAGGACAAAGCGCAACAGCGCACAAGCTTGAGGCCAGGATGTTAATGCCCGCGATCGTCGAGATCGCTGTGGGGCGCACTGAGCTCTGAGTGGCTGGCAGGAGGCAGCGCATCCGTTGGTGAGAGCCAGACGGGCGCCAAAGATCTATAGGATGGCGAGAGTCTTTAAGATGCTGCACTAGAGCCGATCTTGCACACTCTTAACTACGGAGGGAGCGGGGCTAAGGGAAAAGAGACGCTCAGCCCCTTCAGGTAACGGGGCCGTTTTGACACCTTTGGAGAGCCGCGCGGAGATTGAGAGCTCGGATGAACCCCATAGCTGGCCCGGACTTTTTTTCTATTTGTACTGAGTAGCCATCTTACACCTGGAGGGGAAAGGAGATGACCCGCCGAAGGGCCACAAGGATGCCCTGAAATACCCGCGTGGGGTGATCGGCTGGCAGAGTAGATGGGCGTTTTGGGTTGACAGCAGTCAGCCAAGGCGAGATCTGGGAGCGGGTTACCCGCGTCTTCAGACGGGCGCTTCTAGCAGTGTCAGCCTCACTTCGCTTACCTGCTGCGCGAAGACCCCCTGCTTCTTCGGAGGCGGTCAAATAGCGGAGCAGGAGAAGGCGGCTCCTCATCGCCGGCGTACTCTTGCCCGCCTCCTCTTGCTTCGGCTTCGTGCGTCCGTCGGTCCCTCCCTCTCTGTCTCCAAGCCTCTCCACCCCTTTCTCCTTTTCCACCCATTCACCCTTAGAGTAGATTTCGGGGCTTTGGTGAATGTGGATTCTTGTTTCGGGGGGGGGGAAACGGACGGACGTGGGGGCGGAGAAGGGGTGGGGACTCGGGGCTTTGGAAATAGCGTCGGGTCCTCTCTTATTGCCACTGATTTGGGCTTCTTCTCCTTAGGCTGGAGGAAGGAGCTGCTTGGCACTTCTGCCAGCGTTCCCACCGCCGCTGCCAGCCGCTTGGATCAGCGCAGGCAGAGGCGGCGTCCCATCGCCGAGGGGCTTTGGGATTGCAAGCCCCCGCCGCGTTTGCAGGGCGCACGAGGCGTCAGGTCAGTCGCGAGCGAGCAAGCGAACGCGCGCCGGGTCTGGGCACTGGGCAAGTCTCGAGCTCCCCCGAGGGCAGATCCGTCTCCTTTCGAGGAGATCGCCAGGGTGGAAGGTCTTGCGCCCCTCCTTCCGCGTCTGGCGAGACGATCGGGAGGTGAAGAGGGCAAGAGGGAGGGGAGGAGAAGTTGGGGGGAAAGTCGCCTCTTGCCTTACCAACTGCTTTCTATTCCTCCTCAGTGCTAAAGGCAGACACCCTGCTGACCCTTTCGCTGGGAGAGTTGAGCAACCGGCTTAGGAGAAGAAAGCGGCGAAGATTTCCGCGCGCTTCGTCCATCTGTGCCGCGGGTGTGACTTCCTCGTTAGTTTTTCCTCTGTTGGCTTTTTTCCCCCCATCCCATGTTAACCTCTATTTGAACATGGCAAGGACAGTATCTTCTGGAAATGGATTCAGTGTGGGAAAAAGCACAGGAAACCAGAGCTAAATGACAGGATGCGGGAGACTTAAGAAGATAGTCGAGAGAGAAAAAGGGAGAGAGAGAGAGAGAGAGAGAGAGAGAGAGGAGAGAGAGAGCGCCTTCTGCAATCGACAAGACTTCTGGTGCTACTACTACAATTGTTGTTCGGCTGAATCAGTTTTCTGTCTCTTTTTAACTGCCCGTGCTGAAGGAGGATTTAAGATCTGAGCGGAATTGTGTGGAGAGATTGGATAATCTTATTCCCTTTCTTCAGACCTCCTATATCCGAAGCAGAAGATGGCCTGGGTTCTACTTTTGCACTGTGCAGCCCTCATATTCACCCTTGGCAGAGCTTTGAAGAGTGGTAAGTGACTCAAGATCACTTTCAGGTGCATCCAGATTGCACTCTGCAAGTTGGAAGCCCCTTTGCCTGAGATGATGATGATAAGCCAACCATGAAACAGGTTTTAACTGTATTGGCTAGAAGGAAAGGTTGATGGATAACATGCTGGGTATTCATCTAGAATTACACCTAATCAACACACTTAGTCTGTCAGCCCTTCCTTTTTGGCTCCATACTCTAATGCAATATGTAACACTGGGCTTACGGCTTTCCATAATAGCCAATCATTTTAATGTTTCCTTCCCTTGGCAGTTGCACAAGATTGTCCAGAAAAATTAAACAGATGAGTATTTCAAATACCCAAGTATTGTTCACTACTGAGGAAATGAAAGCTAAGGGAGATAGGCATATGTAGCTATATCTTTGCTAACTATGCAGGTAAAATTTTCCTCGTTTATACTTATAAAATGAAAAAAGGCTTGAATTTACAGACTGCTTGTCTCAATGCAAGGAATATAAAGCATTCTTCTTCGCAGGCAACAATTCTAAGAAAGAATTCCCTCAAATTGTCTTTGTAACTGGCCTTGGGGCAACTGGCCTTGAAGGGGCAGCTTCAAAACAACATGGGTTTCTGGCACAATGGTGGTCAGGCATCTGGAATATCTCATTATATTATGCATTCTTTAAAATGTTCTTACTTTAGCAGTGGCTGGCATTTAACCTGCATGCATGGAGTGGGGAAATACCTGGGTTTTTCCTCTCAGAACCAAGTCTGAGCAGTTATTAGCTAATTACTAAATATTAACTTCTTGCTTGACTAGGATTTCAATCAAAGTAATTAAATGAAGGGACATCTTCCTCTGTACTTCGGGTGGTATATTGTTTTAATAAGCGACTGCGTGTAGTGTGTGTGTCTTACAGGAACAGTTTTAAATCACATGTTATGAAGGAAATTAATCTTTTTCCAATATGAGCAAGTTGGCTAATTTGGTCAAAACTCAACAAGTTCTCTTGTCTGCTTCTTCATAACATTACAGTAGGTTCTGGAAATCAGTGGTGCTTTGGAATTAGATCTTCTCTTTCAGTTGTCAAGTCTTTCTTTTGGGGGATTACACGTTCAGGCTTTGCATTTTCAGTTATACATGAATAGTACCGAATTTAACTGGGAGGTATAAATCAGAAGAGGCTCATTGAAAGCCTGGTGGAGTGAGATGTACTAAATGCCTTTGTGCCATCAACTAATATTCTTTGAAGAGCCCGATCTAGGAAGAAACTACAATGCTACCATTGAGTCTGAATAATTGTGGACAAAATATTTTTAGCCCCACTGAAGTCATCGCAGTTCCTTGGATCTGCAACAATTCAACAGACCTACAAATGCCAGATCTTCCTCTGTCCAGTTCAAGTGTCTGCAAAATTAATTCATTAACCCTATTTAGAGCTAATGGTCCAAAGTCATTAGAAACTGCTTCTCTTAATCAAGTAAGAGAGATTTCACAGAGCCAGAGAGTCTTAACAGCCCACATTATCTTATTATATTATCACTTTCCCAGGAGATAGCGATTAAAGTGTTATTGGTGGTGAGTCCACTAAATGTTTCCTGGAGTGACTCTGTCAAGTGATTCACTGGTTTATTTCAACCATTTCACATATTCCAGATTATGCCATGTTGTTTGCATAGTATTAGAGAAGACTTAATGAAGCGGGATGGTTTTCTTCCCAAGTCTGCTACAGATGGCAAATCATGCCAGATTGTCTTTCCTGCCACATGCAAGAGGTTTGCACAGGAATATCATTGGCTGCTCACTTTGAACTCCTAAGGACAACATCTTTTGTTCTCAGAGAAGACACATATATGCAAACTGCCAAAGCAGGGAGAAATAGGAACATACAACCAACTCAAAAATCATAATTTGTTGAAGGAAATAAACCATCTCATTCTCTTCTAATTTTTGGCAGATGTTTCCTATAATTGCTGTGGTTGGTGAATTTTATGTACTGTTTCTTTCAAACTGACTAGTAAAATTCTGCACACCAATAATTTCACATTAAGAACTATTGATAACCAGATTTCTCTTAGAAGCAAGATTCCAACCTGTGTATGTCATTCCTGGGGAAATGTTATGCATTGCAAGCTACACATGCTTGGTTCGGTGATGTTAATGGAATATCAGTGTCATTGCACTTAGGTTAGCGGTCCATAATTTTTAAAACTAAGCAGTGCAGACTCACAAGCAGCAGTGGCATTATTGACACTGGAGGTTCATGAGTTGTCTTTTCTTCCATCTTTATAATTCTATAAACTGTAGTTAATCTTAACATGAGTCAGACCACTTTTACTCAAGAACAACGCATGAGATTCGAAAGACTGGGGAAAGCAAGAATTTTGTAATTGGAACTAAAGTTTGTTTTGTTTTTCTTTCCTTTCTGCTTTGCTAACCCTTATCTGCTCCCCAAGCAGCATAGGTGGGGGAAAACTTCCGTAATGGAGCTAAGTAAACCTTTGCTGCTTTAACAATGTGCTTTGTTGCTGGGTAGTCTGGATCTCTGGAGCACAGATAACTTCAAATTGCTTAGATTTAGTATCTGATAAACCAGAAAGAGAGGGATGTTGTAAACAAGCCAGATTGTCTAATGACAAAGAACAGGCTCATTTTCAGAAAGCTAACAGTAAGGGGGCGGGGGGGGAGCAGCAGGCACTGTGTTAGCTTCAAGTTGCTCCCTGTGTAAAATTTAATATTTAATAGCATTGTAACTACATCATCTATAATTAACTACTTACTATATACTACTATAGTATACTACTATGAGTACTGTTAGTACTTTCTATTGTGTAGTCATTAGGTAACAAAACCTTAATTTGGGTAAAAGATATTAGGTAAAGTTACCTGGTTCGTATGTATTTTTAAAAATGATCCCAAAGAAGATGAAGGTGATTCCACTATTTATTTTGTTTACACAGAGAGAAAATTCTATAAACAACCTAATAAACAGTTGTGCAAGCTATGGGAAAGGAAATATATTAGCTTGAGTTGACCTGAATTGAAGTACTGAACGGCCTATTATTTATAAGATGGGTCGATCAAATGATGTGATTTCAATATAATACATGTATGTTTGTGTGTTTTAATTGCAGATCGATGTGGTGAAAACATAAAAATTTTAGAGCCTGGATATCTCACCTCTCCTGGCTATCCTAATAGTTATCACCCAAGTCAAAAATGTGAATGGTTGATTCAAGCTCCTCAACCACACCAGAGGATTATGATCAACTTCAACCCACACTTTGATTTAGAGGACAGAGAATGCAAGTAAGTGAAATTGATCTGTAAGGGAAACCACAGCACCATCTAGTGGACAAAAGTCATTCACGATGTCTTCTTCAAGGGGTGGGGAGTTGAAACAGCTGATAAGTGTGAAATTATGTGTGCAAAATTCATTTCTTGGTGATGTGACTTCAGATTGGACCATGTGTAAAAGCAAGTACATATTTCATAGTAGACACTGTCATAGTTATAATCTTAGAATCCATCTGCTTATTTTGTTGGGAACTTGGACCAATTAGCAGTTATTTCTTCTGAAACTTGCAGGAGGAAAAAGGCAATTGTTTCTTTTTTTTAAAAAAAAAGTTATAATTATGAAAAGAAAAACACAATCATGCTTTTTTAAAAAAGTAAGCTCACCTTATTGACTAATTGTAGTTCATTTTTTGTTCGTTTGATGGCAGTGATCATATTTATAACGAAGTGGAACAAGCTTTGGGTATACATGTCTGTATCGCTGTACACATATTTTAGAGATTTCCCTTATTATGATTAGAAAATATTGGTGTACTGTCAAGAGAAGTATATTGATTAAGAGAAATGATTTTTCAATACGAATTGCTGAGTTAGCTGAGAATTTTACAATTGTACTGATAAGTATATAGTTTATAGAATGTAATGTACAAAATGCTTTATAGCGCTCACATCTAATGAAAAGTTAGATGTGGTTAAAGTGTTTTCACTGGTTAGGTCGCTCTTTATTACGGAAGCTCACTAGGTGGCTTTTGGCTAGTATTTCAGTTTTCTTGTGAAAGAAATTAAAATAATCACAGACTTGCACCTTAGAGAAACAGCACAATGTAAATGTAATAATAAATACATCAAGTGATCTCATGCTGAAGTAGCATTCATTCTGAGATCAGTATGAAATAATTTATTTAAGCAGTACTCTCACAACATTGACTGAAAGTAACGAGTTACTCTTTATTTTCAGTACTCCGTGTAAAAATGTACTCCATCAGAGAGTACTTGAGAACTAATTTGCCCTCTGAGTTTATATGTAAAAGATGGGCACCATTAGCTTCCAGATGTTGTTGAATGTTCCCAGCAGTCCTAACCCACATAGTCAGTTTAAGTAGGTGAGCAGAAATCGGAAGTTCATAGGTTGCTCATAAAGGTTTTGTTATATAGGATGCATAATGTGACTTCTATATGGTGGTATAGTGGTGGTGCAGTGGTTAGAATGCAGTAGTGCAGGCTAACTATGCATTCCACTGCCAGGAGTTCGATCCTGACTGGCTCAAGGTTGACTCAGCCTTCCATCCTTCTAAAATTAGTAAAAATGAGGACCCAGATGGTTACTCTTAGAGAGGGCTTTAAAGCACCGTAAAATGGCATATAAATCTAAATGCAATTGCAATGCAATGTGTGAATAGGCTCAAGTTCTTCCTGTGATATAGAATGTCATCCAATTGAGGTTATGAGTCTCTTTAAAAGACTCTATGGCATAAATTAATAATACTTCCATTGTTACAAATGGGATAAAAGATAATTATTTGTCATAAGCCAAACTCTTATCTTGTTTCTGACTAGGGACTATTTTTGTTGCTTTTGTTACAAAATCGGAGAACCAGATTTGAAAACTTATCATTACTGGATAAAGCGGTTAAATAAGGAAATGTTTAGCCTTAATTATCCTACCATTAATAGACCCATCTTTAGACAAAGTGAGACTATGGCCTTGAACAGTAAATGTTGTATATTCTGAAGGGACACACAACATGATTGCCTTGTATTTTTAGCACAGGGAAGGAAAGAGATACCCTTTCTTCTATTGACCAATGGTTGGTTTTGTGAGCTTTTTTATAATTCGCTCTACTATACATGGGGCCACCCTTGACTTGGAAGATACAACTTATCCAGAATGCAGTTCCATGACACATTGCAATGTGCTCTGCATGTAACACTTATGCTCTGCAATCTGTACCAGTTATCAGAAAGTTGCCAGGTGAAATTCAAGATACTGGTTGTCATCTATAAATCATTCACATGGCTCATGAACTCATTATCTACACAACTACTCTATTTTTCTCCAATTGTCTTTGTCCTTTGTCTTTGTAAGATGAGATGGGATGGGCATGTCCCACATCCCTTCCATTAAAGAAGGATTGTGGGTTCCCAGAGGTGTGCCTTCTCTGTTGCCACTCCTGGCTTCTGGAATACCATTCTTCATAAGATAGATCATAGAATGATAGGACTGGAAAGGGTCTCAGAGGCATTCAAGTCCAACCCCCTGCTCAAGGCAGGAAACCTTATTCTCTGCAGGTCAAATAGTTGTCTAGTCTATTTTTTAAAATCTCCAGTGATGCAGCACCCACAACTCCAGGAAGCAAGCTATTCCATTGATTAATTGTTCTCCCTGTTGGTAAAAATTCTCCTTAGTTCTAGGTTGCATCTCTCTTTTTTGTCCTGCTTTTTGTCCTGCCCTCTGGTGCTTTGGAGAACAAATCAATCTGCTGTTCTCCATGACAGCCCCTCAAGTACTGGAAGGCAGCTATCATGGTACCCCTAACTATACCTACTTCCCTTAACTGTTCATCATATGGTTTAATCTCCAGATTCCTTATCATCTTTGTTGCTCTTCATTGTACATTTTCTATGGTCTCAGGCCTTTTTTTGTATCGTGATGACCAGAACTGGATGCAGTATTCTGTGTGTGGCCTCATTAGTGGGATATAAAATTATATTATCACTTTTTGTGATCTAGATGCTATCCTTTTTTTCATACAGTCTAGGAGTGCATTGGGTTTTTTGGCAGCTGCAGCAAACTACTGGCTCATCCTTACGAAGACGTTGAACCAAGTGCTACCTAATCTATAACTGGGCATTTGGTTTTACTGTCCAAGAATGACTTGAAAACCTGGCTTTTTAAACAGAACACGAGCCAAGAAGTTTTGTGATCCTGCCAAGTGATGACTGATGAAGGTTGTTGATGGCCAAACTGATGTTTTATGTACTTCCTCATAGCATCATTTCATTTTTATAGCTTCTGCATTCTGATTGTATGTTTCTAAATAGTTTTTATCATAAGGCACCTTGAGTCTTTCTGATTTGGTGGCATTTTAAGTGTAATAAATAAAGAAAAACTTGTGTGGGAGGCATAATCTATATAGGTTGCCTCGGGAAGCAAGGGCCTAACTCATGAACAGACTGTTTCTTCTGACAAGGTAAGTGATTGAATGATTAGTGAGCAGGCACTGTAAAATAAAGCTACTTGGGTAGGGTATTTGGCAGGTGGAAGAGAAAACACCTTGATGATCTACATCTGATGAAAGAGAGCTTGAATCTGCCATAGAAGTAGCCACTGATATGTGACCACATGTGGAACCAAAATTTCCATTGTAAGTCATTGCGGTCGTACGTCAACTCTCCACAAGACTGGAGTTGATTTTAATAACATTTTTACATCAATCAGAAGTTGTGTCACCATGGTCATTAAGCTAATCATGCAGTCATTAAGTGAATACAGCTTCCCCAGTGAATCCAACAAAAAAGTCGCAAATTGTGATCATGTAATCGCTGAGACCAATCATACATGTAAACCAGTTGAGAGTATCCAAACTGCGGTCACATGGCAGAAAGCTGTGTTGCAATGGTCATAAATGTGAATTTAAGTCGTAAGTGGCTTTTTTGAAGGTTGACGTAATTTCAAACCGTTGTTAAAATGAACGGTTATAAGTGGAAAACTACTTGTGTGGATCAATGGAGTCACAGTTGCTAAATGTGACCATTGAGATTTTAGAATGAGCTTTTTAAATAAATTTTTAAAACTCCTGTTCTCTGGGCATGTCTTTTTCCTGCAATTCAAAGAAGAAATTTACATTGTTGTAATATAAATAATTTAGTATTTATTTAGAAAAGCTGCTGGATGGCAATGTAATGGTATAGTAATTGAGATGTTATATTATAGCACCACATGACCATCTTGTAGTGGTAAAAAGTTAACAAACTTGGCTTGGTGTAGGTGTATTGCACCCATGGGCATAATGCATTTCTTCTTTTCTGCAGAATATTTGCTCCCTTTAGTGCATACTTTGAAACCTAATTAGTGTCATTTTTTTTTACCCCACTCTAATTGGGCAGTTTTGTTGTCAGGCAAAGGTAGGTAATTTTACAGCCAAAAGCTTTGTAGGCAGACCTATTTAAATCGGCCTTTCATTGTACAACTTAAATGCTTCCTGTGTTATTTTGTGTTCCATTTTAAATACTGACCCTTTGACTTTCACATTACGACAATTAAATTCAAATGAAAAGATATGTGTCAAAGGAGCAAATCTGTCAAAAAAAAATCATCTTCACAGGAAATTTTAAAAACTCTGTTTAAACCATAAAGAACCTCACACTTTTCAAAAATTGCTGCTATTATTATTATTATTATTATTATTATTATTATTATTATTATTATTATTGCCAGATTCTAGGTGGTGAAACGCTATATTAGTGCATTTGTCAAAAAGACTTGGGATTTTTAGCACTAAGCAACCTATTATATTGGAGTTCTAGGTTTTGGTTTATTATCACAGCTGTATAGATAAAAGATATAATATTGCAATCAAAGCAGTTGATGTTTTAGCTTCAAAAACCCCTACACATGAATGAATATATATATATATATATATATATACATATACACATACACATACACATACACATACACATACATACATACATACATACATATATACATGTTTTTCTTTCTTTTTCGTAGGTTTTATGTCTAGGTAGAACCTGGCTAAAGAGAAATATATATATACATATATATATAGAGAGAGAGGTAACCTCAAACCAGAGATAACAAATTACTGCTTTTGATGAAAGAAGTACAAATAAGAGTTCGTGTTTATTGCTACATCTTAATTGCATCTGCCCCTTAATAACAGTTATGGAGACATTGGAAGGTGGTGGTAATTGTCACATTGAAGCTGTCTGAAGAACAGCTACAGCCCTGCCTGGCTCTGAGCAAACAAATTCAGGGGCCTACCCAACTG